ACACTGCTGCCCCCGCAGGAGTAATGAAAATAGGTCCAGAAGAATTGCCACGACAGGCTAAATAGTGACATAACAGTTTTACTGGGCAGGGGCTATGACTTGGTTGACGATAAATGACCATGGAAAACGGTTGCTGATTGTAATTGTGTTTGTAGTCGGTAAAGGTTAATTTAAAACCAATTACTTCACCGTCTCTTAAGAGTTTGGTGAGCTGGTTCAAACAAAGAGGAATAGGAGACTGCTTTGATGTCGATGTTATCTCGCCAATACGTAGAAAGGCAAAAAATGAGAGACCACACACAGCCTGAAAGCGGCATTGGTCGTATGAAGTGCCAATACAGTGTGGAGCAGCCATTAGTAATCGGGTTAAAATTGGGAGAGTGATAGGTAACTGACTATCTAAGCGAAAGCCAAGTTTTCCATAGCCTTTTAACATTTGTGTAATATAAAATACCTTAGTAGGGTCAACCAAGCTGCATAATATAGTGGACCACCGTGGGACCATTGGTCCCAGAAAATTTTTGAGGTTGGCAGAAAAAAATGGGTAACACGTAAAAGTCTCAAAAGAAAAAAAAGTAAAGAGAAAGAAAGGAAAAACAGAAAGGGAGAAAATGAAAAAATTACATAATTTAATAAGCTGTAGGTAGTGAACTAGTGATGTTTGGAAAATGCAAGTAATACAAGTTAATACGGTACAGGTGGCATTCCAGCAGCCTGATATTATGGTCAAAGACAGGCAGACAGCAGTCTAGCAGATATTAAGACAAACTCCTCTATGCAGTTGTTATAATTGATTTCATCTAGTGTATTAGCTACTTCTGAAAATACCACTCGAGTTATATATGAATACAACTCATTTAACAACTACAGTATGTAGATTAAAAAGTCTATGAGTGTGGTGATTTCTTACAATGTAGTAAAAAATCTAAGCAATATGTTTCAATACACAACATCTTCTGCCCTTCTCAAGAACTTTCATCCATTAAGTTGATATTCATAACAAATATATTAAAATCCCAGTGGTCACTTTCATCATTCATTAACATGTAAATGTTTGTTGTTAAATTAAAATATAAAGAATATTTATTCCGTAGCCATGTTTGAAATACGTCTACTCTGCTGGCAGTGGTGTCGGAGCTGCGTAGAAACCACTGCGAGCAAATAAACGACTTTCTATCAAGCATGTGCAAAGATCATGTGGTGGGACGTACGTCACTAATTTGACTTCATTTCCTGTGGTTTGACAGTTTGTTATCTTTACGTAAACAAGCATGGCATAGTACTTTTTATTTGTTGTCTGTCAGTTTTAATCGAACGACTTTTTATTCTACATGCAGTTAACAATTTATGTATCGGTTTTAGTATCGTTATTGTCAGTACTAAAATATTTTGAAATCTGTGTTTCCCCCCTACGGCTACAAATTGTACATTTGAATTTTCTGTTATATCTTTTTAAATTTTTGTATTTATCCAATCAATATCAATTTTTAGAATTCGGTCTGCAAACTTTATTTGTGTTACTTAGGCCCCCTTTACACGAGCTCGGGTTGACTATCAACCCGGGTTGGCTTGCCAGCCCGGGTCAACCCGTCTACGAATAAATCTCTATTAGTGTTTACATGATAGCAGGGTCAACCTTTCACACCTCGCCAACCCGGGGCACCCTTCTCGAGACCCGGGTTGGTGAGGTGTGAACACTTGAAAAGTTTACTCATTTCTTCATGTAAATCCGGATTGGCTTGACCCAGGATCATGTAAAGTGCGGTAAATTCTTGATTGTGAACTTTGCACCTAGTGTCATATCACATTTCAACATTTTGCGTATGTATTTTCTCCGTCTCTGTTTAGTACAGACATATAAAATCATACAGTATGGCGAGTAAAACTGTCCAAAACCAAAAGACAAAATGCTCAACCCACGTTTCAGTGGTGGTCTGAAATTATTGATCACCTAATTCTTTCTCTGAAGGATTATAAGATGGAGATGAATTATAAAAATGTAGATTTCAACTCCGATGTTGTCGCAATGTATTCAAAGGTCTGGCGTTGGCGCTCGATGCCGAATATTTTTGCCCAGTAGATCTTCCAGTACAAAATAACGAGGAGCTGTCAAAAAGGGAAGAAAACGCCTTTGAAGGCAGAATTAAGTTGCTATATGATTAAATCCTTGATAAAAAGGGATATAATCGTGTATTGAACGTATAAGCACCAAAACTAAAAGGTATACAATCGTAATAATATCGTATGAGGTCTATAAGGGATTGTAAGGGATATAAGCTTCAAAAATACACTCTGCTCCAGTCTGTTGCTCGGAATATTACTTGAGTCAGCCCAGGTTGAGAATTGCTGACCCTGGTTGGCAAAAATTGTCGTCAACCGGGCTCATGTAAACAGAATAAAAAAATAACCACCTGTGGCGTGCTGACCCAGGTTGAAAATCAGCCCGGGCTTGTGTAAAGGGGGCCTTAAACGTTGGAGATTGTGTTAAGGTTTTCGAAAAATTCCAATTTCCAAAGTTTCCAAATAATAATAGAAATACATGCATGCAATAACCCCTCGCCTGTTTTCAAAAGATGTATACTCAGTGCCGTTGCGAGCACTTTGTCTCAGCGAGGGGGGGAGGGGGGGAGGTTAGATAGAGGGGGGGGGTTGGTTATCAAAATGTTTCCCGATGTACAAAAAATTTTCAGGATATATAATAATTTTTCCAAAAATACAGTTTTTTTTCCAAATTCACTTTCTCATGTCCTGAGAATTACCTGAATTCTGCAAATCTACTTAAATTTACCTAAAAGTGCACTGGAAATGTACCTGAAATTCCTCATGAGCAATTATCAGGGTGTTGCACCCCCCCCCCCCCAGTGAGTTTCAAGCAAACACTCTCTGATTTATTGTTCATGTATTTCACCTCCCAAAATATTGTGCATCATACTCTAGAGCATTTTGCTGTTGTCATGCTCTAGCGTGGTTCAAATTTATGAATTTTTATTATATAAAGTATAGTGTTTTATAGAGATTTCGAGCACTGCTAAAAATGATAATCTCACATGTGAAATTATTCATGATAATCTCACATGTGAAAATTATCGCTTTTCAAAGACTGTCCTTTATATAATAAACAGAAAAATACATGGGTGGTTGGAAATACCAGATTTATTTCTCGTGTTGAGCATGACATCTCACTCGTTCGCTGTGCTCACTTGTGAGATATCATGTTCAATACTCAAATAAATCTGGTATTTCCGCGCACTCATGTATTATTCTCTATTTAAACTGCAACTTGACTGGTTTAAATTATTATCAAATTATCAGTGATTGTAAAAGTTGCAGATAGAAGTGTTTTGTTTTATATTATTATCAAGTTATCAGTGATCGCAAAACCTCCAAATCCTTAATTTCAAATGCCCTGCCGGGGTTAAGGTTCAAGTGGAAATGCCCAACCCCCAGGATGTGCTTTACAGGAAAATGGCTGGGCGAGGGGGGGGATGGGCACATTTGGATTTGGCTGATGCATGAAAAGTCATGGAAAAAGAAAAAACTTTTCATATTGCTACTAATAAAATGGCTTATTGTGCTTAATCCAGACTGCTTGTCAAATATTTACTTGCTAGAAGTAGAAATTTACTCTGACCACTGGATGAGGAAGACATTAAATAAGTACTGGTCAATAAACACAGAAATGTATTTTATTTCATAGTATCACAATTTTATTTTTATACTATAAAAATAAAATATAAACATGAGCATAGAATATGCAAATTCGAGGCAAAACTAATGTTGAATCGGTTTATTTATAGGATTTTATAACAAATAGCAACTATAAAAGTTTATACCTTGTCTTCACATTGCTTTATTCTGTTAGCCAATGCTTTTAAATTTACATATTTTAGAATCAGTTCCTTTCCTGGTAACTGCATTTCTAAATGAAATCATTGTGAGTAGTGAGTGCTGAGCAGGCCGTTTTACTATAAACAAATTTTAGGAATTGATAACAACTTTGAAAAATGTATCGTTGCACATTCGGTCACTGTCGGAAAAATGTTCATAGTATGTTGTACCGTCGCTGGCAACTAACGATGAACAGTCGCTCATAAAAACATTCGCGTGATTAGAATCTTCAATGTTTGTCAAGAACAACAACACTTAATTGTTGTTTCCCATGTGTACAATAATAAGTAACAAAACTTTGTGTGGTCTGAACGTGTTGGGCTAGAGACCTACTGGAAACTTTTACAGGCTTTTTAATGAGAACAGAGAATGTTTTATCTGCAACTGTTCACCCTTAGTTGCAACCGACGGTATTTGACAGCATAAAATTGCCTGTGGCTGTGATAACTGATATAAATAAAATACAGTCTGGTTATACTGACTTGAGCGTGTCATGACAAACTCTTTATTGGAACATTGTGAAGAAATAGTCGAATATAGAGAGTTGAATATCATACTTTAACTTCTATAGCTACAGGATCATTGGTACATAGCATAATTAGCGTTGTGAAGACAAGCCTTTGCTTAGGGGCGGACCATTAGAAAATGGGGGAGGGGGGGTGGCAATTTCAGAAGAAAAAAATCGTGCAAGGTCAGTTCAGAGGAAAAAAAAATCTTGCAGAAACCCAGCGTGGGAAAAAAATATCTTGCAAGTTATTAGACCAACATATATTTAGGTAAAGTTATAAACCTCAGAGAATAGTAAATCAATGGAAATATATAAACGTAAAAAATTATGCATAATGTAGACTGTAGTTATATTAAACATACACATCTCAGTCTAAAATATTCAGTTGTACTGTCTTAAAATAACCTGTATTTAAAATATAAAGTTGATTTATATACAAACACTATATATTAACAAATAACAACATAAAATAACAAAAACAGAAAACTTTCACCATGTTATCAGTATCAGTTGAATATAAATGTTATCTTCCTTTTAATATCACAGCATGTTTATATGTAAAAGTGTTTTCAATTAGATATGGAGAATTTTATGAAGTATCTTTTTAAAGTTCTTCAACATCATTCTCAATGACCACAGAGTCATTGTCTGCCCCATCACAATCCGAAGTTTCAACAACATGACAATCATCACCAGGCCCTTCAGTCACATTTATAATAGCATGAAGCTTTGCTCTTTTTGCCTGTCTTCTTTGTTGAATTTTGTTATGTGATGCTGTTTTCTTGTGTTTTTCAGCTGCCATCTCAACTTTTGCTTTCAAGGCAGTAACTTTTGTACTAACATGCTCAACAGCCTCTTGCAGCAGTGGTAGATGGTGTAAATAAAATTCATTTGGCTCTTGCCACTCTATGATTAAAAAGAAGTCAACATACATGCAGTTAAGCTTCAAAATAGCCTTAAGTTTATATAGAGCAAGTTTCTATAGACATTTATGATTTCCCTAGTTTAAATGCATATCAATTATATATAATGGTAATATAAATAGGGCTGTATAATATTAATAAATTATAGTTCACATTCCATTAAAAAAAAATCGTGCAACACAAGCATGGCTGAAAAAAAAAATCTTGCACAACGTTGTTGCAAAAAAAAATATCCTGCCCGAAAAAATTGCCACCCCCCCTCCCCCATTTTCTAATGGTCCGCCCCTTACTTTTCGCTTCAGCAGTCTTTTTTTCCATGCTTCTCTACGCTTTCCCAGGCGAGCTTCTCTTTCCTCAGCAGTCTCCTCGAGCAAACGTTGTCATCTTCGCTCCCTCCTTTTTGCTAGATGCTCGGCTTTCTTGTCGTTTCCTTGCCGCTCTTCATTTGGCTCCATATCTTTTCAATTGGCATTTGATACCGTAATTGTTTTATTAAATTTTTTATAGAACAAATTGCTTTGAAAGCTGTCAAAGTTTTTTGCAAACATACAAAATACTGTAGTGCAAAAAGCAAATTATTTTCAAGAAGTATCTGTCAGTTGAAGTCGTCATTTGTCATACAACAACAAATTTTAAATTTGACCAATCAGTGTTCGCTATCCATGACAGTCCGCCATATTTTTGAGATCAGTGAGGATGACCACCCACTCAAGATCGTCGTTCGTTGGTCACGCCCGCGATAATTGATGAACTTTAGACTTCGCTAATGCTTTCATTTCCCCGGGTGTAAATAGCCGGGGGGAATTAGTACCCTCGCACGGCGATTCGCGCCATCGGCTCGGGGGATAATAACGTTTCCAATAACTGTTGATTTTGACAATTATTGCAATTTTTGATCGTCGTGACCTCAACTGCTACAAATGTCAACTGATCAAAGATCGTTGTGATCAGTGCTACTATTTCTGTAAAAGGTTGATTTTTGTTGCAGTGTGTAATTTATAGTTACTCTGTTGAACTGTAATGTATAACTAGCTACATGAAACAATAATTCATTTGCACTCAGTGGTTTCTCCTCAGCTCAGCTAGAAACCACTACTAGCAAGGTAAAATACGCCTATTTTGGTTTCAAATCTAATGAAATGGTTCGTAGAATACACTGAATTTTGTTTCGTGATCAAATTTAAACATAAGAGTCCCAGTGTTTGCATGCAGAAAATATTTTTGTTGGCTTTGTGGTCCCAGAAAATAAAATATTTTATGCAGCCCTGGGGTCAACCAAGTGCAATAGTTTGTGTGAATAACCAATAGCTGAAACATAGGTGTTGACAGTTGCAGGGGCATAATCCAGATCAAACATGTAAGCTATGAGGTGATATAGGCAATATGTAAGAAGCTGTACCGGAAACATGAATATGGAATTGGTCGAAAACTCTCCATGCTCGCCTCTCCAAGCAAATGGAAACATCCGTAATGGAGGCAAACTATTTTGCTCCTCACGTTTATATTACACTTTTGATTTAAAAATCCAAGAATACTGATTCCGATATGGATAAGAAGACTTTGAAGGCAATTCTTGATAAAAAACTAGATCCAATTAATGTCAAAGTAAGGGAAACAAACCTAGCGGTCGAAGACTTAATGATATCAATTAAGTTCAGGAGTTCGCAATATGATGACATGATTAAGAAATTAGAGGAATTCGAGAAAATAAATAAAGATGTCATCCAAGAGAACGAAAGACTAAAGGCCGAATTACTTAGGACGGCGAATGAAGTTAACCAGCAGAAAGTCACCATTAATAATCTTGAGCAGTATTCCAGATGGGATTGCCTGGAAATTAAAGGCATACCGGTTCACACTGAAGGTAGTTCAAGGTCTGATGACCTGAATGACATAGTATTAAAAGTTGCCAACACTATTGGAGTGCAGATGGATATGAAAGATATCTCGGTAGTACATCGACTTCCTAGGAGACGGATCTCAAATGTTTCAGAGTCCTCTGATAATTTACAAGATCATCAACCACCAAATGTCATTGTTAAATTCGTCAGGCGAGAAGTGAGAGATAATTTTTATCGTGCTAGAAGAAATCTGAAGGATAAATCTGCAAGAAATCTTGGATTTACCTCGACCAACCGAATTTTTGTTTCAGAAAGCTTGACAGAAATGAACAAAAATCTTTTCAATAAATGCCTGAATATGAGAAGAGACCTTGGTTTCAAATTCATCTGGACTCATGTGGGAAAGATAAAGTTACGTAAAGATGAAAGATGTCCTGTGGTGAATATTCATTCCATTGACGATATTCAGAAGATACAAGTTAATCATTAAGATAAGTCTCAATATTAAGTTACTGCAAAATATTTTGAGTTTTTCAAATGATTGAGTATACAAACTTGCTTACCTTATTTGCATATTGATGCGGAACCTATCAAGGATATTTCCCCATTAAGTAACTCTGATTCGGATTTACATATTTCATCTTCTATAAATTTTAATTATTATTCTCCAATTAATGACTTTAAAGGAAATGAGGACATTATAGATCTTCTTTCTGATAACTCTGCGTCATTCGCAGCATTGCATTGTAATATTAGAAGCCTATCTGCTAATTATGACTCTCTAGTTAACTTATTGTGTCAACTTCATTTTCCATTTAATATAATAAGAATTACTGAAACCAAAATTAAGTTGAATGAAGTTAAGTTAGTCAATGCTGCTTTTTGTCGCAACCGAGTGAATCTAATGCTGGTGGAGTAGGTTTTTATATCAATGAGAAAATAGATTTTTCAATTCGAGATGACATAACTGAAACTAACAGCAATTTTGAAGCATTGTGGATTGAAATTGATAATAAATCCAAAAGTAATTTAGTATGTGGTGTTATTTATCGTCACCCAAAAAGTGATATTGATGAATTTATGAAGTATTTAAATTCCACTGTTGAAAAAATTCATCGCGAAAGGAAGTGTTGTATCATGATGGGGGATTTCAATATAGACCTTCTTAAATATAATAGTCGTCAAGAAACAGATGATTTTATTAATGCATTATGTACATTATGTTTTCACCCACAAATTTTGCAACCTACAAGAGTTACAGATCACTCTGCAACATTAATTGATAATATATTCTTTAATTCAATTGAACATATATCAATCAGTGGTAATATTGTATATGATCTCTCTGACCATCTTCCCAATTTTCTTCTAAATCAAAATCTTTACAAGAGATTATTCCAGGTTTAATCAAGAAACATTGTACTCAGAGTTGAGATGCTAATTTGGAGGAAATTCTTGCTCCCACTCAAGAACCTAGTGATATGTTTGATAAGTTTCATACTAAAATAACAGCTATCATAGACAAACATATTCCTATCAGGAAGCTTTCTAAGAAAGAAGTAAAAATTAAAAATAAATCATGGATAACAAGAGCTATCAAAGTCTCAATCAGAATTAAAAATGGCTTGCATAAGCAGTTTATTAAAACACAGTCTAGTTATTATTATGCTAAATTTAAAATATACCGTAACAAGCTCAATCACCTCATCAGAATAAGTAAAAGACATTTTTACAATAACTTTTTTAATTATAATTGTAATAATACTAAGAAATTGTGGCAAGGTGTAAATTATAACTATTAAAACTAACAACACTAGAGTGCCATTAAAAATAAAGGTTAATGGAGTACAATTAGAAAATAGTAAACAAATAGCGGAGGCATTTAATGAATATTTTGCAAACATTGGAAAAAATTTGGGAAATCTAATGCGAGAGCAGGGCGAATCTCTGAAGTGAAGCAAACCTGACAACAATGAGCAAGTGAAAGAATGTGTTCGTAGCTCATTATTCTTAAGCGGCAAATATGATACTATCAATGCCGATCAATCTATAATAAAACAAGAACTACAAAGACTTAGCTCGAAGATAACCGAAGTAGCTATGAAAGTGGATAACATTGATTCAGCAATTGATGATCTACAGCAATACAGTTATCAATACAATGTAAAGCTTGTCAGCGTCCCACAGCAAAATGCAAAGGAGTCAGCATATGAAACCAGCAAATTGTGCGTTGATCTCTTTTATGCAATTGGGGCAGCTAGATATAAGTATTCATGATATAGATACCGCTCATCGTGTACTGAGCAGAAAGCAAGATGGCAAGCCCAACCCTATAATTTGTAAATTTGTAAGGAGACTTGCAAAGGACGATGTGATGAGTTGACGGCGTGATGCCTGCAAAGTAGATCCGAACACGATAGGCCTTCATAGATCATGCTCAGTCTCGTCGATTCGAATCTACGATCATCTAACTCCAAAGTCTCAACAAATTCTGTATGAAGCGAGAAAATTCAAAGAGAAAAATGTCTATGAGTTTTGTTGGACAAAGAATATCATTGTCTATCTAAGGAAAACCGCCGACAGCTGTGCTGAAAGAATAAGAAATATTGAGGATTTGAATAAGTTAAAGGATCGCGAATAAGTATACCATATTAATTAATATTTGTATTATCACCAGTGTGTCTAGTGGTGGTGATAATAATTGTTAAATAAATCAAGTAAAAATTCTACTATGCGAATTACCATTTTATAATGAAGTTTACCTTCCTAACTCCTATGAGAATTTAACTCAAACTCTTCCTAGTAAAAAAGAACTTGATAAATATCCTAGTAAGTGTGATATAGACTTATTTAATACTGAGACAAATTCTGATATAAACCCTGATGTAAATTCTCCATACCAACTTATGTGAACTCATTATTATTCACCACATAAATTTGCTGAACTTAAAAAATCCATTTCAAAAGCAAATATGGACACTAGCTTCTCATTACTCCACAACGATGTAAGGAGCTTGAAGCGTAATCTTGAAAAATTCCAAGTTCATCTGCTAGACGAACTTAATTATAATTTTAGTGTAATAGGAATTACTGAAACAATAATTACAGATGAAAATGTTTTGGACTATAATCCTGAAATACCTAATTACAACTTCGAATATGTGCCAACACCCCTATCGTCGGGTGGAGTTGGAATGTACATCAATAAAAGCTTAAAATATACAATCATTGAAAAAATTCTAACGACGTGTTTCAGGCTCTTTGGATTGAAATACAATTTACAAACAAGCCAAATATTATTTGTGGAGTAATCTATAGACAACATAATTATCCGGAGTGTTTTCAAACATATTTTGAAGAAATTTTGGATAAGTTTAATAGTTCTTTTTTGAATAAACCAATATATTTAATGGGTGACTTCAACATAAACCTCCTCAAAACTCAAACCTGTAAGTATGCTCAAAACTTTTTGCTTACTTTACAAAGTTATGCTCTACTACCCACAATAGATAAACCAACTAGAGTATACAAGAATTCTGCAACTTTAATTGATAACATCTTTACTAACAAAGTTGATGAAAAAATTTCAAGTGGTAATATTATCTCCGATATTAGTGATCATTTCTCACAATTTTGTATCATTCGCTCAGCTAAGCAAAAATATACTCATCATCAATGCAAAATCAGGGACTATTCTTGTTTCTCTAACACAAAATTTACAAACGAACTTTCACAAATAGACTGGGAATCTATTATTGCAAAGAAAAAAGATGTCGATAGCCTATTTTCTACATTTTATAATAGACTAAATAAACTAACGAATAAACATGCCCCATTTACAACTGTTTCAAAACGCAAAGCAAAACAATTCTCTAAACCTTGGATTACCAAAGGTTTAAGAAAATCTATCAAAATAAAAAATTATTATTTTCAATCAGGTGATACAGATAAATATAAATTATACAGAAATAAAACGTAATGTAATAAATCAACTGGTATGTTTAGTATACCAACAAATATCCTAAAGATGTTAAATGAACTTATAGCTGAACCCCTAGCAACATTGTTGTTCAATCATTCCTTTAGCACGGGAATTGTTCCCGACCAATTCAAGATTGCAAGAGTTATTGCTGTTTTTAAAAGCGGATCACGAAGTGGTCTTTACAATTATCGTCCTATTTCTCTCCTTTCTGTTTTTAATAAAATACTGGAAAAACTAATGTATCATAGATTAATGAGTTACCTTGACTACAATGACATTTTATACAATAAACAATTTGGTTTTAGATCTAACCATTCTACAATCTATGTGTTATAACAGCATAAACTTAGCTTGATCAACACATGTATTACAACTGACTCGTCAACAAATTATACATGCCATTATATAGGTACCTAACTAATTAACATTATAATAACATCCTAATGACTATTATAACATCTTTCCCTTTTTGAAGCTGAGTACTTGGGATCCAATAATAAAACAATAAATTGAAATATATAAATAATAAATGTCCGTGTCTGTACTAAAATACGATAACTAAATTTAGGACTATATGAACTACGATTAATAGTTAAAATTAAATAAATGTACGATATGAGTAATTCGTGTTCGTGGCATTACACTTCAGTGTAATCCCGACCCTATTTCAGTACAAAGTCCTTTCCAGATCTTCGTACAGCACCATTATCTTCTGCAGCAGGTAAACATGTCATTTCTGTTCTTGCTTCATTACTGCCCATTTCTTTAGAAGGGCTCATTTGTTCTCCAGAGCCGCCCATGTCTAGCGGTGTCGAGTTATCCATAGCTGATCTCTGCTCGATGTCTGGAGATGCTTCGTTGGTTTTTCTTAGTTGCACTCTATTCCTTCTCAGTAAACCCTGTGGCGTCTCTATCTCATACGATCTTCTTTTTTTTTTATCCAAAGGGTTCAATTTCGACAGCTCCCCTGTTCTAATACTTGGCTTGTTGTCTTTTCCGTTCCGCTAGTTTCTCTACCGTGGTACCACTGTCAATGGATTGTGGTTGCAGCAGCTTCGCTGTTGTTGGCAACAAGGTTCTCGCCCGCCTATTCAACAGACGCTGGGCTGGACTGCTCTTCATGCTCGTGGAGGGAGTATTTCGATGGTCAAGAACCGCCAAAAACGCGTCTGACTTTGCTTTCTTCGACTTTCTTAGGATTTTCTTAGCTTCTTTTACAGCGCTTTCGGCTTTACCATTTGCTTGACTGTGGTATGGACTACAGGTGATGTGCTCGAAGTCCCATTCCTTAGTAAATATCTGGAAATCGTGTGCCACGAACTGCGGGCCATTGTCCGTTATCACCTGCTCGGGTATGCCGTGTCTCGCGAAATAACTCTTGATTTTCCTAATGACTTGTACTGAGGAAATATTCTTCAAGTGATCCAGCTCAACGAAATCACTAAAATAGTCAGCGGTAATTAGATAGTGTTTTCTCTCTAGTTCAAATAAGTCTATTCCTACACGTTGCCAGGGTCGATTTGGCACTTCATGACTACATAAAGTTTCCTTTGGCTGACTTCTCTCATACTCACGACAGGCTTCGCAGGTTGACACATGGTTCTTGTTATCGTTGGACATACCGGGCCAGTAAAGGCACTCTTGAGCTCGATTGAGGCACCCATTTACTCCCAGGTGGGAGTTGTGGACTTTTCCCAGCATCTTGCTTCTCATTGCTTGCAGGATAACCACTCTTTCTCCTGTAAACACTAGACCATCTTGGATCGACATCTCGTCTCGGATGTTGAAGTAGGGTGCCACAACATTTGGCAGATATTCTTTTTGCTCTGGCCACCCTTGCCGAATCACCGTCGTCAAGACTTGGAGGGACTCTTCGCTTTTTGTTTCTCGTTGTATTCCCTTTAATCGTTCGTCAGAAATTGGCAGGTACTTCATCATGTTGATAGTCTCGAACTCTGGACCACTTTTCCCATCACCGGGGACGCTCGCTCTGGACAACGTATCGGCAAGGAACATGTTGCTTCCTTTCTCATACTTCACTTCGATGTCATACTTCTGGAGATGGATCATCATACTCTGCAGTCTCTTGGGCGCTCGGTGAAGAGGTTTCTTCAAAATACTTTCTAGAGGTTTATGATCACTGTAGATGGTAACTTTTCTGCAAAACGTGTAGTCATTAAATTTCTCGACCGCATAAATGATGGCCAACATTTCCTTCTCTATCTGAGCATATCTTCTTTCTGTCTCAGATAGTGTTCGGCTGGCATATGCAATCGGATGACCATTCTGCATTAGGGCCACTCCCAAACCAGTCTGACTGCTATCGCATTGGATCTCAAGACTTTCTGATGGCTTATAGTACGCGAGGACTGGGGTCATTGCGATTAAATGCTTCACTTCATTCCATGCTTTCTCGTGTATTTCCAACCAGCACCACGCCGACTCTTTGTGTGTTAGATCACGCAAAGGGTCGACTTTCAAACCTTCATTGGTGAGAAGATGACCATGGAATGAAACCTCTTTACACTTTAACTCCAATTTGTCCTTGGTCAACTTAATGCTCTTTTCTTTACACCGTTCCAGTAGCCTCTCGAAGTTCTTGTCGTGGTCTTTTTCGTCGGTACCATAGACAAGGATGTCATCTGCGATACACCTCCAGTCCCAGGAGCTCTTGGTTGAGTCGTTTCTGGAAAATCTCACTGGACACGTTTAAACCGAAGGGCACGCGCAACCACCGGAATCTTCCGTAGGGGGTAGAAAACGTCAGCTTGCTTGACTCTTCGTCTAATTCTAGATGCCAAAATGCGGATGCCAGGTCAACCTTGGAAAATACACGAGCCTCCGACAAATCAGGTAGTAAATCATCTATGACAGGAATTTGATATCGCTCTCTCTTCAGGGCTTCGTTCAGTGGCTTTGGATCTATGCATATGCGCAATGCACCAGATTTCTTCATTGCCATGACAATTTGACTCACTTGGTCGGTTCTTCGACAGGTGTGATGACTCCCAGTCTCTCTGATCGTTGTAACTCGACTTTGAATTGGTCTCTCACTGACACGGGGATTTTCCGTGCCGGTAGTACGACTGGTTTATGATTTGGGTCTACTTCTAGATGGACTATTCCTGGCAATCTTCCCAAATCGTCATTGAAAACTTCAGCATGCTTGTCTACCACATCCGTTTTCTTACAAAACACAGCGCTAATGAAGTTCTCTTTGTGAATCATCAACAGCCTCATCTCCTCTGTGGTCTTCAAACCTAACAACGGAGTCAGGTCATCCTTGACGATCAAGAACTTCACATCATACTTCTTCTGATTTCTTAAATTAACCACTCGAACGACGCACGTTCCCAAAGGTTTCACTTTAGTACCGTTCCACATGACTAATGTTCTATCACATGGAGAAATCTTTTCCTTTTCTACATACTTGTATAGAAGTATGTTTGTGCTGGCGCCACAGTCGACTTGGAAATGTACATGAACGTCGTTGACCAAGATCTTCGCAAATACCGCTTTCTCTTTCATAGCTTGAATTCTCACGACGCTAATTTCTTCCTCCTCGCTTTCTATGCAGTATATGGCGGACTTTCGACATCTCTTGGCAAAATGATTCTTTCTTTTGCACTTGTTGCAGGTTTTTCCCCAGGCTGGACACTTTCGCTTATCTGGCCAGTGCTCAAAGCCGCAAAATTTACACGATATTTTTTTCTCGACTGATTTCGTTTTCCTTTCATCGTCCTCTGAACCGTCCGATTCTGATTCTTTGTACTGCCGCCTTCTTTGTGTCTTGATCTTATTAGCATAGTCATTAGATGTCATTAGCAGACTCATTGACTTCATTTGCATTTCAGTAATCTCTTCACTTCGACACGTATCAATGCATTTACTCAGAGTCAAATCTCGCATTCTAAGCAGCTTTTTCATTGTTTGTTCATTTTTTATCCTGAGAACTATACGATCCCGTATGAGGCTATCTCGTAAACAGTCGCAAAAGTTGCATGGCTTCGCCAATGTCTTCAGCTCAGCAACATAGCTATCGATTGATTCGCCTTGTAGTTTATCTCGCTTGTTAAACACATATCGCTCGAATGTCTCGTTAACTTCTCCAATACAATGGGCTTCAAGTTTTGCCATTACCACTTTCCAGTATTTGTTTTGATGACTTTTAGGCCTTCATCTCCAACTGAGTGCTTGAACATTGCCAACTGAAATGCAGAACTCTCATTCTCTAGATGCGAGATTATGAAGTAATTGTTGTATTTTTCTTTCCATAACTTAAAGTTCTTGGCCGCTTCGCTACTATTTCTTAGGTCTAAAGGTTGTGGAGGAGAAATATTGTGACTCAAATAAACTGCAGGCTGTCCGACGGCTTGTCCAACTTTGTGCTCCATACTGTTATTCTTATAGTTACGCTGCCACCATGTTATAACAGCATAAACTTAGCTTGATCAACACTATGCTGTTTCAAGTATTGTTGATAAAATACAAAAATCAATTAAAAAGAAAAACTACTCTTGTAGCGTTTTCCTGGATTTGAGAAAAGCCTTTGAGACTGTAAATCATGCCATTCTTATTCAGAAGCTTGAATGTTATGGTATCAGAGGAATTGCCTTAGAGAATGGTTTATATCATATCTTTCCAATAGAAAACAGTTTACAAAAGTTAATAAAGTTTCTTCTGAATTAGAAATAGTTGAATGTGGGGTACCCCAAGGATCCATCCTTGGTCCACTATTGTTCCTGTTATATATTAATGACTTCAACTATTGTTCGGATATAATCGACTTTCATCTTTTTGCTGATGATTCAAATTTATTTTATGAAAATAAAAGTATCATTTCACTTGAAAATCAACTTAACTTAGAATTAGTTAAAGTAAATAATTGGTTATGTGCCAACAAGCTTTCTCTTAACATAAATAAGTCTAATTTTGTAATTTTTCATCCTCCACAAAAAAAAAACTATTCAGTACATCCTTGTGTTAACAATATTGACATTAGACATGAAAGGTCTATTAAAAATCTTGGAATTATAATTGACTGTAATTTGTCTTGGAGAGATCACATTCAATATTTAATCAAAAAGCTTAAAAGAAATGTTGGGCTTATTTCTAAAATCTGTTATTTTGTTAATCTTCAAGTGCTAAAAAATCTGTATTACGCCCTTATATATCCATTTCTTACTTACAGCATTATTATTTGGGGTAACACTTATAAGACAACTATCGAATCTTTATTTAGTATTCAGAAAAGGGTAATTCGTATTATGACCTTCTCTCAATACACAGACCATACCACTCCCATTTTTAATCATCTTGGTTTTATTAAGTTACATGATCTGGTTTATTTTCAAACAGCTTTATTTATGTTTAGATTTCATAATCACCTCTTACCTGATGTGTTTAGTAATTTTTTTACACCAGTTAGTAGCGTTCATAATTACAACACTAGGGTTGCCTCGAAAAGTTCTTATGTAATTCCCAAATCTAGGACTAACTACGGTAAATTTTCAATAGGTTTTCAAGGAGCAAAAGTTTGGAATTCTATAGATGAATCATTAAAAACAACTAGTTTTCGAGTATTTAAAAAAAAATATGATGTTAAATATTGTAAGGGACTATACTGGATGATCCTGTTTGGATACAATGCTTTCTCCAGACTACAACACAATATTATGCGAATGGTTTGTTCCGGTTGTTTGCCTACTTATTTTCCAACTGTCGAGAATTATGCATAGTTTGTTAAAGGACACTATAGTTAATCTTATATGACTTTTAAGCGTAGTATTTGCTTGCGCATGCGCGTTAGTGCTGGCCTGACGAACACGTTTTAGATTCGTAACATTCATATAAAACGACCGTTTTGGACCATAGTTTTGGGACTTTATGTTAGTTATGTCTTGTATTAAGATGTCAAATATATTCATATAAACAATCCACATTTTGGTGCCGTGACCAGTTGTATTATGGAAGAATTACAAAGACTTCGAGCGTCCCGAAAAGCTTATCGAGCACACCTCACAACACTTTACAAGAAGATTATAGAATTGAAATCCGCCACGACTATCGATGAACTTCACATTGCCACGCTCGAAAACTATTGTCAACAACTCAAAAGAAAGAAAGACATCTTATCACCACTCGATGAACAAATTGCGAAAGCTATCACCAAACCCGAAGACCTTGAATGTGAGATTTTTGAAACGGAAGAAATGCACAGCACAATCGACGAAAGGTACAGTGAACTTACCACATTTATTGAGATAAAACGAAACGAATTAAAGCTTAAAGTTACTGTACAATCATCCAATAACACTAATGAGTCATCCCCAGAAACCTCACCCCAATCAGAACAGCCTATTCAACAGGAAAATATCCATCAACCAGAAATGAGTCAAAGCCCAGTTGGACCCAATTCCGAAACAGGGGAAACCCCAGCTTCCAACAACACTATTCAAAATCAAACACTGATAAATAATAACAATGGTGCCAGTGCCAGTGGTTCTTATCCATCAGTTAGTCGACTGCCAAAGTTATCCCTACCTACATTTTCTGGGGACCCCATTGCCTGGCAAAACTTCTGGGACTCGTTTAAGACAACCATCCATTTAAACCACACACTGCATGATGTTCAAAAATTAAACTATCTAAAAGCTCAACTTACAGGTGATGCAGCTCGAGTTATAGCAGGTTTCCCTATCACAAGTGCCAACTACAAACATTCAATTGATCTCCTAATTGAGCGTTTTGGTCAACAACAAAAGATTGTCAATGCACACATGCAACGTTTGCTTGACCTACCCAAACCTGACACAGGGCTCATAAGTCTTCAGCTTTTCTACGACACAATAGAGAACCACATCCGAGGCCTTGCCTCACTTGGCCAGTCAAAAGATTCCTATGGGGCCCTTCTTATACCAATAATTTTGGGGAAATTACCAGCTGAAGTTAGGCGAAACCTAGCCCGAGAACATCACACCTTAGAATGGTCAATTGACCAACTGCGAGATGCCCTCCTTAAAGAAATCAAGATCCTTGAAGCTGGTCTGCACATAGACAAAACTAAATCAGAGCTTAGTCCTGCCCACACTGCTACAGCTGCATTTCATACTGGTTCAGGGGGGGACAACAATACTCAGAAAAGAAATCAAGGTGACAAGACCCCACACTGTGCATACTGTAAGGGTACACATTCCTCACTTCGGTGCGAAGTAGTGACTGATCCAGAAAAACGATTGACGATTATTAAACAAGCAAACTTGTGTTTTAATTGCCTTGGACACCACAAGGTGTCACAGTGTCGATCCAAATATGGTTGCAGAACATGTACACGCAAACATCACACCAGCTTGTGCAAACCTCAGAAAGCACCCATCAAAGATCCCCCAGAACGGGCAAACGAGGAACAAGGGGAAAAATCTGTCCACACCACACTAATCCCTGCGGCCCCAACATCAATCGTAAACACTCAAGGAAACGAAACTACTATTTGTTTACTGAAAACCGCTATTAGTACTGTCTCCTTAGCTAACCAAAGAGCTGTTGCAAACAGAGCCCAGTGCTCTTTTATCACCCGTGAATTAGCCGACAAGCTTCACGCATGTCCCCAACAAACTAAAGATATCCAGATTTCAACATTTGGGGGAGAACAACCAACCAGTCACACATTAGAAACTGTTACCATCAACATCGAAAGCATCACAAGCGAGAAAATACCAGTTAGTGTTTTGGTCGTTCCAAAGATTGCCACACCTTTGCAAAATCGTATTCGCACCAATGTCCGGACTCTCCCATACCTAAAGGGAATCCCACTCGCCCACCCAATCACCTCAGACGAGAAATTTGAAGTCTCGCTCTTGATTGGAGCAAATTACTACTGGGAAATAGTCCAAGACCATATTATCAGAGGAGCTGGTCCAACAGCTATGGAGTCTAAACTTGGATATCTGCTATCGGGACCCTTACCCCTGGGAGAAGCCCCATCAAACACCACCATATTAAATGTCATTACCATGCCTCATCATCAAGTAGAGAGCATAGACCCCAATCGGTTTTGGGATCCACCACCCTTAGATTTGTTAATGACCCCCACAGAAACCAATGACCAGACTGCGATTGGGAACTTCAAGGAAACTAACATCACTCGCTCTCCTGATGGCACTTATTGTGCAAGATTTCCATGGAGGACTGAGCATCGCGCACTACCATCCAACTACGCTGTATGTGCGAAGAGAACACGACTTCTAGCTCGTCGCCTCGGACAGGACCCCAAACTCTTGAAGACCTATAGCGACATCATTGCAGAACAAGAAGAGAAAGCATTCATTGAAAAGGTGTCTACGACCAGCATGTCAGATAAGATCCACTACATCCCCCACCACCCTGTAAAAAAGGACTCTACCACCACACCTATTCGCATTGTATATGACTGTAGCTGCCGCCAGTCAACAGACCACCCAAGTTTGAACGATTGTCTTCTGCCAGGGCCACCATCGCTAAATGATATGTGTTCAATTCTTCTGCGCTTTCAAACCCACCCATTTGCATTTTCCACCGATATAGAGAAGGCATTTCTACATGTTCAACTCCACGAAGGTGACAGAGACTGTACCCGATTCCTGTGGCTTTCCCAACCTGATGATCCCGAAAGCGTGTTTCAAGCCTACCGATTCAAAGTTGTGTTGTTTGGTGCTACATGCTCACCATTAATGCTCAGCTCAGCACTCGAATCCCACCTCGACCAATACAGTTCAAAGATTGCTACCGACATGAAAGAAAACCTATATGTTGATAATCTCATTTCCGGACAGCCCACCGAAAATGATGTCACCCAC